AGACACAATTACCCATAGCATGACCCTTTTTGACTGGTAAAAATTGCAGGCTTCTTTATCATCGGATTGAGCTCCTTCCACTCAGCAGCCTAATTCTTGGGCCTTCTTTGGAGACAATTGTAATTGCCTTCCTTCATAATCTTCTTTGCTTCTTCTTCTTGTTACTCTGGAGAGTTTGGATCATAAGATGGCATCTTGATGGGTCTAGCGAGTTGGGAAAAGATGAGGAACTACCTTGTCGATTGGATTTGTTTATTGTCTACTCGAATTGTTGTTGAGAACATTATGTACTCACTAGCGACGTCGGTGATTTGAGAAAAGGAGAATGAGAATGAGATCCTTGTAGTAAAAGGCAGACGAAAGGACCTAGTTGAGAAATGGAGAGCGAGAATAAGATCTCTAGTTTTTGTGTTTGCACTAATGGTTGTAGGCTCTGTAACTTGGCTCCCCTCATAACCTACCAATTTGGGCCTTGTTGGTGTTGGCATCTCCCGTCATTTAGGTGATCGGAGCATTGGTCGGCTTCTTATACTTCACCAGCTTAAGGCGATGTAATGGCAGAAGGCAGATCTTGGCCCACCCTCATGGGCCAGGTTTCGTGTCCCTGCTCCCAAGTGGCATGTTCTTGCTTATCCTTTATCCCTATCCTCCTGCGAGCTGTAGTACCAGAGGGGGAGGAGGACACATGCCATTTGAGTTTCTCTTAATTCTCTGACTTAAGGCGATGTAGTGGCTGAAGGAAGCTCTTGGGCCTATCTCATGGGCCAGGTCGGCCTAGTAAGAGCTCTGGATTTTTATCTTTGTTTTCTATGCCAAGTTGCGTTGTTCATCCAAGAGTGATTTCATCCGAGCCATAATTCTTTTGTTGGATTTGAGACCAATGCTGATTGGTCCAAAAGGGTTTTCTTAACCCTTTTAATATTTGTCCGATTTTATTTGAATGATATTGTTTGCTAATTTTGCAGAGGATAGCACATGGATTTGGTCATGAGGTGAAGCTGCTCATAGGGAGCGTTAGTCTTCCTATCATATCTATAAGGGTTTTGCATCTCTGCTTCAATTTCAGTATGGTTACTTCATAATTTTGAACATTTTAACTTCTAAGGGAATAAATAATGATATTGCCCGTCCAGTTCAGGTATCAAAGGACTGGCTACATCGTGGCGGGAAAAAAATCTCTTAATTGGTACAATATCTGTTGGCTAGCGCGCTTTATTTTTTGGGTTAATACATTATTCTGGCTCGAAGTATGACCAAATAATTAACTTTGGCCAGTGGTTTCAAAAATTGCTATTATGGCCTCAACTATACACCATGTAGATGATTTGGCCCGACTCGTGAATTTCCGTCAAATTAGACGGTCAACATCATTGACCGTTAGTGAATCAGCATGTTATGCTGACGTGGATACCATGTGGAAAATAAAAATTAATAAATCTTTAATAATTTAATAAAATAAAATAGATCTCTAGCTCCAATCTCTCTCCATCCAATTTTATTTCTTCTCCTTCCTTCCTAATCTTCTTCCTCTTATGTAAGGATGGCAATGGGTCGGGTTGGGTCGGGTTTTGCCAAATCCAAACCCATGAGTTTATCTGTAAAAAAACCCCGGGGTAAAACCCATTGGGTTTGAAAAACTTAGACCCAACCCAACCCACTAGGTTTCCGTGGGTTCAGGGTACCCATGGATTTTTGTGGTAAAAAATTTACAATAACAAGTTCCTATCAAAATAAAAGTCAAACATCAATTTCTCCATACAAATTATCCATAAATAAAACACCTGTACAGAAGATTCAAACAAATCCCAATTGCACTAAATAAAAGCACACAATTCTTTGTTTTTCGTTCATTCCCTTTTTTCTTGTGAGAGAGCTGGGAGGGATTGGGAGTTCAGACGGAAAAGAGAGGGGGTTTTGGAGGAGAGAGCAGAGGAGGGATCGGGGAGGCGTCAGGAGAGTCATGAGTGTCGTGAGAGTTATTTTGGGGGAAATTAGAATTATAGTAGGGTTTGGGGAGAGTAGGGCGACAAAATAAGTGTGAGCGGGTATCCATGGGTCGGCTATCACTAAACCCAAACCCAACCCGGTGAACAATTAACGAGTTTAAATCCAAACCCGGCCCGAAACCCGTCAACACGGGTTTTATCCACATTGACCGAGTTAGGTTGGGTTTGGTAGGGTACCCATGGGGTTCGGGTTTTGGTGTCATCCCTACTCTTATGCCTCCACGGCGGCGTTGTTCTCTCCTTTCATCAATCATTCGTCTCTCCGTCTCACTCCCTCTCCTCCCGCCGGCGTCTTAGAGTATATGTCCCTCGTAACTCAGCTGATGTATCACTGCCCGATGACTCGGCTTATTCTGCCGCACCGCATGCCACCACCTGTGTTTTCGGAGAGAGGAAGGAGTTGACCAGGATTCATCCTGGTTATATCTATTACAAGTCGGTATGGTTTGGGGCTGTGATTCAGCAGGAAAGTCAATTTGGCTCTGGGGACGGCTGTTATGGGCGCTGCCGGTGGAGCCATAGTATACGCGTTGAATGCTTCTGTTTCGGAGGTTGCACCCTCGAGTTTGCATAATTATGTTGCCGGTTTCGATGATCCCGGAGTTGTTAAGGAGGAGGAAATTGAACATATTGCTTTCCTTTGTCGATTGTCGATCTAAAGGGCAGAGTTGAGGTTTCTTCTAGAATTAGGGATTTGGTTTGTGGCAAAATTTGGGTATGGGATTTGTTGATGGATTGCGTTTGAAGGGGTTAATGGTTGTTCTTGATGAATCGAGGAGAGGCGGGAGCAATGGGTGTCTGTGGTGATTGAGACGTCGACGAAATTCCGTCCTTGTTCGCCGTTGGGAAGAAGAGGGAGAAGAGAAATCTGAACTGGTCTCATCCATTACCGCTCAAATTGAGTCCGTTCAAATTGACGGTCAAACCACTCGTCCGCCAATTGAGTCTATATGATTTATATTTGAGTCCATGATAACAATTTCTAAAACAACTAAACAAAATTGATTATTTAGTTATAATTTGAGAGAGAATAAGGAATTAACCCTATATTTTATTTTTAATACGACCAATTTCAGTCATATATAGGGTTAATGACATGAATATTATTTTTTTTAAAAAAATTTACCATCAATATGGCGGATTAAAAAGTATTGACAAATATATTGTGTTTTGGAGAAAAAGTTAGGTGAGACCGCCTGAGACTGAGGTGCCACCACCTGAGTCTCAGGTTAATAGATGGGAAGAAAGTCCCAGGTGTTGGCACCTGAGACTGAGGTGTTACCACCTGAGACTGAGGCGTGACCACCTGAGACTGAGGTGGCACCGCGCAGAACAATTCTAATTCCAACGCTAAACCCTAAACCCTGAACCATGAACCCTAAACCCTGAACCCAAAACCAACGAATTTCGTATCAGTTATTCACACCACAAATGGCTAATAGGTAAGAGACATATTTATTTTTTAATTATATTATTCAAATTATATTATGATTGTGTTTAGTTTAATTAGTGAGTTTTTTGTAGTGATTTTAGAAGATTAGAACTAGTCGTTCGGTGGAAATCGGAGAAAGTAGAGGATAATTTGGGCGTCAAATTCGTTGGTGGTGGTAGTTTTCAGTTGACGGTTTTTCAAATGTAATAGTTGTGGTTTGAAGTAGTTGTTGTTTTTCAAATAGTTGTTATGGTTTAAGAAGGTTGTTGTAGTTGTTGTTTTTCAAATGTAGTAGTTGTTGTTCTTGGCCAAATTATAAAATGTCCGAGTTGTTGTTTGTTATTTATTGTTCCGAATATTTATCGCTAATAACATCATACATGAATGTAAAAATAGTTCAAGGAATAGTCCACATAAATAGTCCACATAATAGTCCACATATCAAATAAACAACAAATTCAGACAGGAGCGTAGGCCACGTAGACAGCGACGTGAGCATCGTGATGTACCTAACCCGCTCCGGATTTCAGATCGACAGCGATCACAGCCCGTTCGGCCTACTACGACCTTCCGGTTTAATCCTTCGTTTCAGCCAGGACATCAGACAGGCGCCAGCGAGGTGTGGTACCGGCGGCCATCTAGTGGATCAGCATGGTGGTCGTCGTGGTGATGATCGTTAGAGTTTTTTTTTTTTGTATTTTTGTTATGTTATTATTATTTGGGATATGTATGTGGACTATTTATGTGTTATGTGGACTATTATGTGGACTATTTATGTGGACTATTCTTTGAACTATTTTTACATTCATGTATGATGTTATTAGCGATAACTATTCGGAACAACAAATAACAAACAACAACTCGGACATTTTATAATTTGGCCAAGAACAACAACTACTACATTTGAAAAACAACAACTACAACAACCTTCTTAAACCATAACAACTATTTGAAAAACAACAACTACTTCAAACCACAACTATTACATTTGAAAAACCGTCAACTGAAAACTACCACCACCAACGAATTTGACGCCCAAATTATCCTCTACTTTCTCCGATTTCCACCGAACGAATAGTTCAAATCTTCTAAAATCACTACAGAAAAACTTACTAATTAAACTAAACACAATCATAATAACATTTGAATAATATAATTAAAAAATAAATATGTCTCTTACCTATTAGCCATTTGTGGTGTGAATAACTGATACGAAATTCGTTGGTTTTGGGTTCAGGATTTAAGGTTTAGGGTTCATGGTTCAAGGTTTAGGGTTTAGGGTTAGAATTAGGATTTTTCTGCGCGGTGCCACCTCAGTCTCAGGTGGTCACGCCTCAGTCTCAGGTGGTAACACCTCAGTCTCAGGTGCCAACACCTGGGACTTTCTTCCCATCTATTAACCTGAGACTCAGGTGGTGGCACCTCAGTCTCAGGCGGTCTCACCTAACTTTTTCTCCAAAACACAATATATTTGTCAATACTTTTTAATCCGCCATATTGATGGTAAATTTTTTTAAAAAAATAATATTCATGTCATTCTTCCTCATATATACTAGCATTTGGTTTATTCCGTGACCGAATATCTATAGAAAAAAAAAAGTGCAGGACAACGCCATAGTAACTTGAACTTTCCTATCATTCCTCGATCTTTGAAAAGCTATCTCTCAATCTTTTCCTTCTCGTCAGCCTCCCGTCTTTCTCACGCGCATTTCAGCGAACAGATGGACGGCGGCCCCGTCTGAACCGCCCTCCTTCCTTCCGTCAACGAGCCCGCACCGCCCAACTTCCATCCATCTCCCTCGTTCAATCCACGTGCCAACCCCCCTGCCCCTGATTACTCGAACGGAAAATCCCCATTATCTCCCTGCGCCATTTCCATCTTCCTTTCCTTCCCTTCTACCCTCTGAATCCGATAATGGAGCGAGCCGGATTGTGATCCACCTGCAAACCGGCGGCCTCCTTTCCCCTTTTGCCCACGCACCCAACTCATCACATCTCACTTCTCTCCCCGCAAATATCTCGTCTTTCCTTTGCTGGAACCCTCTTGCTGCATTCATGGCGTAAAACCCGTAGCCCACAATCCTTTTTGTTTGGATCAAACGATTTTGCTTTCTCCCCGTCCAAATTGCATTTGGGTATTGAGATCTGTTAAAACCAATTAACCCCTCGCCCGAAACCTTCTCGATGCGAGGCCGCCACGGAAGTTAGCGCGCCCAGGATTCTGATTGGGGTTCGTTCTCCGTTTCTCTTTCCGATGTCAGGAGCGGGTCACGCAGTGGAACACCGCCGCCAACACCATGGCCATCACCAACAAGGGTTGCCGAAAATGGAAGCGAATAATCCGACCCGGCCCGACCTCCGCAACCCGATCAAGAGATCGGGTCCTGCTGTGACCATGGAGCATGTCCTACTGGCTCTGAGAGAGACCAAGGAAGAGAGGGATGTTAGAATAAGGAGTTTGTTCAATTTCTTCGATGTTGGAAATACTGGCTACTTGGATTACGCAGAGATAGAGACCGGTCTCTCTGCCCTGCAGATTCCAGCAGAGTATAAGTATGCCAAGGATTTGTTGAAGGTCTGCGACGCGAATAGGGATGGGCGGGTTGATTACCCAGAGTTCAAGAGGTACATGGATGATAAAGAGCTCGAGTTGTACAGGATTTTTGAAGCAATTGATGTGGAACATAATGGGTGCATTTTGCCCGAGGAGCTTTGGGATGCGCTTGTTAAGGCTGGTACTAATCCAAGTTCTGTGCTTTTTAGTAATGGCTCGAGTCATGTTACCAGTGGTGTTAGGAAGTATGAATAAGGTGGTCTTCGACTGAAAAGTCATTGTTCAATAATTCTTGATAGGATACATTATTTTTTCTCGTCATTGCTTGATTGGAATAGTTACAGGTCGAATCGATGCCTCGTAATAGTTTGAATTTCTTGGTCCAAAGTGTCCCGTTAAGCTTCTACATTGCATAATATTGTTTTCAAACTTCAACAGTAGTTCTGAAATGGTGACCTTTCTTGAAAATTTTGCAATTTTGTTATTTCTTCTTATGGAAATCGTCATTCTTAGCTAGACGTTCCTCATCATTGCGTTCCTTTGTATGCATTTTCCATGCCATGGCGTTGACTTGCCCTATTGTGTTCATCTTATAAGCCACGGCAGCTTCTATTTTGCAGGCATTCAAATTGACGATGAGGAACTTGCACGTTTTGTAGAGCACGTTGATAAAGATAATGATGGGATAATAACCTTTGAGGAATGGAGAGATTTTCTTTTGCTATATCCACATGAAGCTACCATTGAGAACATATATCATTATTGGGAAAGGGTCTGTCTTGTAGACATTGGAGAACATGCTGTTATCCCTGAAGGCATCAGTAAGCAGGTCCATAGGAGTAAATATTTCATTGCAGGGGGAATAGCTGGTGCAGCTTCACGCACTGCAACTGCCCCTCTCGATCGCCTGAAGGTTGTTTTGCAAGTTCAGACAACTCGTGCTTCTCTTGTACCCGCTGTGAAGAAGATATGGATGGATGATGGTTTCCGTGGGTTTTTTCGCGGTAATGGTTTGAATGTGATAAAGGTGGCTCCTGAGAGTGCTATTAAGTTTTATGCTTATGAGATGTTGAAGAATGCCATTAGAGACTTCAAAGGGGGGCAGGATGTCGACATTGGTGCATCTGGTAGACTTATGGCTGGTGGATTGGCAGGTGCTGTAGCACAGACTGCTGTCTATCCGATGGATCTTGTGAAAACTCGATTACAAACTCACGCGTGTGACGGTGGAAGGGCACCTAAATTAGGAACACTAACTAGGGACATATGGATACATGAAGGGCCTCGAGCCTTCTATAAGGGTCTCGTCCCATCACTTCTTGGTATTGTTCCTTATGCTGGCATTGATCTTGCTGCTTATGAGACGTTGAAGGATATGTCAAAGACTTATCTTCTACAAGATAGTGGTATTTTTACTTTTTTTTTTCTTCTCCCAATTGACCATGTTCTTAAATTTTGTAACGAGTGTATGTGATTTTCTAACCGAAAGTTTCTTGCCCTTGCAGAACCAGGACCTCTTGTTCAACTGGGGTGTGGTACTGTCTCTGGGGCTGTTGGGGCAACCTGTGTCTACCCGTTGCAGGTCATCCGGACAAGGTGTATTCTTGTACTCAGTGTCAGAAACATGTCCTCTACTCCTTCTTGTTGTTCCTATTCTTGGGCTTTCGCGATGTACATTGTGCATGTGTTGATGTTAGCTTGATCCAATGGTGGTCACCACCTAATTAATGGTTGGTCACTCATTCTCTTTATTATTTGCCAGAATGCAAGCTCAACAAGCCAATGCTGCTGCCCCATATAAAGGAATGTCTGATGTATTTTTGAGGACACTTCAGAAAGAAGGTTATAGAGGCTTCTACAAAGGTCTGTTTCCAAATCTCCTAAAGGTTGTACCTGCTGCAAGCATAACATATATGGTGTATGAAGCAATGAAAAAGAGGCTACAGCTTGAGTAGGAAAGCACCCTCTGCAAGATGCTAGTAATGGGTGGTGATGACGACAAATAATACATGAGATTAGTAAGTGAATTAGGAAATACAATTGGTTTTTTGGGACTTGCATAGTTGCATAATAGACTGCAAATTCCATCCCCGTCAGGTTTAGAGGGGAGCACATAGTTTTGTTAGATGAAGAGTTGATCTCTCATGATCCGTAAGGCTTATCCGAAGCAAGTTTGTCCAGGATAATCCCAACTCCCTAGATGATTTGATGAACGCCAGTCAATTATGGCAAAATACACTTGTATATCCATAACTTTCACGTTTGTGACAAATATATCCATAACTATCGAAATACACGAAATACCCAATTCCGTCCATTTTGTTAACGGCGTCAGTTGACGGCATAACTAAACTAACGGTAGAAGCTGAGTTGGCGATTGATTTACCCCACCAAATGACGTGTATTATAAAGAAAAAAATAACAAAAATTAAAATACAAAACAAAAATAAAAAGAGAAATATACGGGACTTAAACCCAGAAAAAACGCCTAAAATAAAAAAAATAAAAATGCTCTTCTCTACCTCTTCGATTTCTCCGCCTAGGGTTTCCCTTCTCCAATTTCTCCAAAACTCGGTGGCCACTTTTTGATTTTCATCGACTCGGGTCCTTTTCTCCCATCCCTGCCGACGAACATGGCTAGCGGTTGCGCCTGCAACTGCGACTCTTCCAACTTGTCGACAACACCTTGTCGATCCCGACGCTCTGGCCGAGGAGGTGGTGCAGATCCAGATCCGCCAAGCTGTTGGCCACGAACCCTTGGGATTCCAATTCCACGTCAATCTTCTCTTCATCTTCTCAACCCATGGCTTCTCGATTTATCCATCAGTTGAAGGGGAAAGGAAGTGGCAGAGTGGATAGAAACCCTCTGTTTATCTCGTCGACCAAAACAGGGGATCCAGATCTTCCACTGAGGAGGAAGATCGGAGGCGGATCCAGATCTCTTTTGCCTAATAAGCTTCTTCTCAGTGGTAGCAGTTGGCAGGGGAAGAGCCAACTTCTTCTCAAATCCCCAGAACCCAATTTCCCCCTTTCCTCCTTTTGTTTGATGTTGAATGCTACTCTTCGAGGTTGGGTACATGCAGCAGGGGGAAGGATTTGGTTTGCAACGGGAAATCTCATAAGCTATTAGGTTTAAGAGGAGTAATGGGGGATCTGATTATTAGGTTTAGGAGGAGTATTCGGCGAGCTATGGAGGCTGGAGCTACGGGAGAGAGAAGAAATCATTGGGGCAGAGAGAATTAATTTTATTTTTTATTTTTATTTTTATTTTTTATTTTTTGCTGACATGGCTCAAATTATGCTGACGTGGAGCTTAGGTGTGAGATGGATATGGTCCTAGTCAGCGTTCTGTCACATTTACTGACGTCGTAACAAACGGTGTTAAAGTTTTTAACGAAATGGATAGATTTGTCACACGATAGTACGCTTTTCTGGGTATTTCGTGTATTTCGATAGTTATGGATATATTTGTCACAACCGTGAAAGTTATGGATATAGAAGTGTATTTTGCCGTCAATTATTGATCTAACTTGTTCGAGTTGATTATAGGTATGTCTACATACCTTTTTGTTAACACTTACCTGTTCCATGGTACGAGAAACTCTATTGAGGATCACGTCCAATTGTTTCCATGATACAGTGGTCAAATCTGTCATGATACAGTGGTCCAATTGTTTCCATAATCGCAGCTGATTAACTCGTGTTCGTTAAGGGGGGTGCCAAATTTTGGTCCTCGTTGGGATGAGGCGTCATTAGCATTTCCGTGACGTTATCGAACAGAAAGGTGGGAGCTGTGTGCAGCCTACACGCCTCCTTTAAAAAAAATTCTCAAAATACATACATTTTATGAAATATATTTTCAATCGACACATGTTTGGACTTTATTGCGGGCACCAGAAGCGGTAAATAGTTTCATCGTGATCGTAAAAAGTGGTGAACGTCTAACCTAAGCCAAAACTTCGAACGACCTTAATTTTGCGCTCGGTTATTCAATTATAATGAATTTTTTATTCCGCATAATATTTTGAAATCTTGTAAGCTGTATAGATACAGAGGTGGTTTGGTCCCGCATTCGTCCCAAAAAAACGTCATTTGCTATCCCAAAACAAGCAACTTTTAGATTTTACCAAACTTTTTACGGTCATAACTTTGTGCTCTGCAACCCGACCATAAAGCAGGTATCACAAAAATTTGATCATGACTCATACAATTTTGAATAATGCCTCAATTGAGTAAATGAAAGTTAATCATCCACGAATACGGGTTCATACAATAATTCTTAACATACACGACTAGGTTCTTCAAACCTAGATGAGAAGAGAGATTACTCCATTGAGAAAAAAGAAAACGCAAAGCTTGAAGTAGAAAACATCATGTGAAGGATGAAATTCTTCTCCAAGCGATGGATCAGCACTATGAGGGTAAAAGATCTAGCTCCAATGACCATAGATGACTCCAATCTCCTCCAAAGGTTGTTCTTCGTCACTTTCTCTCTCTAGGCTTCTCTCTTGTTGTTTCAGAACTTAAAAACCGGATAACTAACCAAAACCCCGAGCTTCAGTTTAGTAGGCTTGATGGCAAAATCCATGGTCGTGGAATTGAGTTCCAAACAGTAGAACTTCAAACTGGTGCAAACACTTAATTGAGGACGGAGGAATTCCATGGTCAATCGCCCTTAATCCTCGGTCGTGGAATGCAGACACCTGACTGAAGATTATTCATGCCCAAAAAACATGGTCGAAACCCCCTAATCCACGATTGTGGATTTGACTCCCCAGACCGTGGATTTTGCCTTGACATCCTCCAAATCTGTCTGCTCTCCAGTTGCACCAATACTTGCTCCTAAGCCTTTATTCACGTACCAAAATATCACAAACAAGCACTACCTAGAGTAAAATGGCCATAAAGCAATCAAATGCCAAGTCAAACGATCAAGAAATATTGGGAGAAACATGTAGAACTACGGTGTAAGCAATCAATATATAATCAACATGCAAACTCAAGCATAAGTGATATAAGCCGAGGCTCCTACTCCTAGACTTAAGCAATCAGACACACGACAAAGATTGATCAGTAACACAATGAACACAAAGACGGGAAACAACTCGGACCTAAACTACGGCTGGGAATAAGGTCAGGTATACAAAGTGACTCCACAACCATTGTGATTAACTAGTTGATAACGCCGAGCTCTCCTTGCTAGCTCGATTCCACAAACGAACATGAAAGAAAACAAGAGTTCGATGTTGAACTCTAAAAAAAAAACTAGGATTTCAATTGATAATAACTTGTTCAGCCCATAGGGAAATCTTCCTCTATTTATAGAGGTTACAAAACAATGTTTCTACTCTTATAGAATCCTTCCTTCCTTCTGGCGACGTGGGTTCTTCTTCTTGGACGTGGTTGATTGTGATCTCTTGGCCGACGAACAATTCAGGCTCCAATGAAATGAAACTGTAAGCCAAGTAAGCTTGTAGTTGTGCCTTGAATGCTTTGGTTTGACTTCAAGTGATTAGACCTTCATTTTGAGAAGTCTCCTCTCGTACCAATTTGGGGCGTAGTAGCTTTGGTGTTAATGCCCTCATCATTCTAGCACTAGAAGGAGGACTTCTGCTCATGGACTTAAGCAATCAGAAACGCATCAAAAATCGATTAGTAACACAATGAACACAAAGACGGGAAACAACGCGAACCTAAACCACGAATGGTAATAGGGTAAAGTATACAAAGTGACTCCACAAGTATGATGATTGACTAGTTGATAGCGTTAGGATCTCCTTGTTGGCTTGATTCCACGAACAGACAAGAAAGAAAACAAGAGTTCGATGTTGAACACTAAAAAAGACTAGGGTTTTGACTAATAATAACTTGTTCAGCCTGTAGGCAAATTCTCCTTTATTTATATAGGTTACACAACAATATTTCTACCATTATTGAGCTAAAAAATCCGACTCCTACAAGCTCACATGTGTACAAATGGATGGATGATTTGACTTGAGTACTCATTGTTTGCAATTGCCATGCATAGAAATTTTTTAAATTGGAATGGGTGATTGAGCGGCTAGGTAGCCATGTGAGATTTGTGTCAATCGTCTTTTCTTGTTGGATAGATCTCTCTTACCATGATGTGTAGCATTCACGTTGTCATTAGCAAGGAAGGCGGAGGCATAGAATTAGTCCACTCCCCAAAAGTTGATTGTTTCGGTCGTTGTATCTCCTAGTCCGCCCTTTTGAGCCTTGTGACTTTGGAGCGTTCTCATTGTAGGAGCTTTTGCTACTTGAGCTTAATTGAGATTGATAGAGCGACCCTTTGATTTCTTTGTGTCTAAACCGTTGTGAGTCATCCTTGTGTCTCGGAGCTCTCGTCACTTGAGTTCTATTGAGGTTCCACATAGGTGAGTATTGCACGGTTCCTGCTAAGAATGGAAAGATAGTGTTGGAGGAAGTCTTTAATGGTGAACATTGTTCGTTAAGTGACAAAGGTGACATGTGTTTAGCTCTCTAGTACCCCCTTCGAAAAAATAGAAAGAAAGAGAAAAGAGGTAATGATAGGGGTAAATAAAAGTAGAGAGTTGTCACAACTCACAAAGTTGATGTATATGCTCTAGAAAGATGTTTCTTGGCACCCACTGGTCGAGAGTAAGTGATTTTTTCACATTTTCATGTTCATATTTTGCATCCCGGTGAGGACCTTGTTCGCTAATTTGTCTATACCTAGGGCTTGATCTTTATGCATGGATAATTGCGGTTCGTGAGTGGTTTTCTCAATGCATGTGTTAGTTTGTGAACAAAGTGAGACCTTTTCGTTTGCACGTTCTTAATGCATTCAAATGTCGTTTGTAGTGGTTGCCGGTATTGCTTGTTAACTGTCCATGCGTTGATGTCCAATAACCATTGAGATTCATCCACTTTGAGCCCTTTGATATGTCCCCAAGTCATTGTGTTTAGCTTGAGATATTACCTTGTTTGAAATTGGTTTGCTTGGGCACAAACAAACGTCTAAGCGTAGGGGAGTGATTCATGTCTAATTGTACACATTTTCCCCTATTTTTGAGGTGTTTGAGGCATATTCACTCTAGGAGGTTTGGTTTTACGCTAGGTTGTGCTTGTTTCTAGTGTGTTTCAGATCCTAGCAGGTGGAATCGACCTCGTGAACAAAAGTTGGACGAAAATGGGTGAAAACGGATCGAAGGGAGGAAATAACCGAGGATCACGGTGGAATCCGAGTTTTTGCGGTTAGCTCAACCGTGATAATGGAGCCCAGGCTGTGAAGAGCAAGGAGTCTAGAGGCTTCCGCGCGCCTCACATGCCTAAATGAGATCACGCTCACGCGACCGTGATAATCAGCCCCCATCTGTGAAGAGCATTAATGAAATGACACGTTTTTGTTCAAGATTACTGATAACACCTAAATTGGTATTATTTACCCTTCATATTGAGGTTTGTTTCGTGCAAATTCATGTGTGTAAATACTTAAACATCGTCAATTGCATCCATATTCCATTCCTATTGAATTATGTGATTTTAGGGTGTATTAGACGATGTATGCGAATTTGGTACAAAACAAGGTCACAAGTGTAGCAAGGGGATAAAAGACTGAAGATCGTGGCCTAGAAGTGAAGATCACGACGGATATCCTGGACCGCGAAGTCAAGTTGAAGATCGCGGCCGCGAATTGGAAGGCTCAGGGCACGAACTTCACGAAGAAGGAGCCGAGGAGAAATAGAGAGTTTTCCCAGGCGAATCATAGCCACAATTCATTTTGATCGCGAGGAAGATCGCGGCAACGACCATGGATCGCGACCACGAAGTCATCCCGCGGTCTCTTCAATTCCAAAGGCCAGTATGACTGTGCTTTAAGATCGCGACCTCACCTATGAAGATCTCGCCCGCGATCTCTGTCCTTCTGGTCGCGAACATGTTCGTCCTTTGTTTGCCTATAAATAGGAGACCCCTTTCCCCCTTTTAGATTAGCTAATTTTGAGAGAAGCTGAAAGAAGGAGAATATGAGAAGAAGGAGAAGGAGCTAGAAGAGAGGAGGCATCTTTCTCAACCTCAAGTCTTCAATTTCTTCTGTGTATCTTCTTCCATCCTTTACGGAGTAGTCCTCTAAGGTAGTAAGGGGTTTTAAACCCCAAATCCTTGTTTTACGGTTTACTATGTCTGGATATTTTAGGGTTTGAATGAATGAATGTGTTTATCTAGTTGATTCTATTGCTATTCTATCCTTGATTGTGTTTAAGTCGCCATAATCTTCTCTATCAGCCTACTTTATGCTTCTACGCTGGGTATGGAGTTCTAGGGTTAGACGGGTATGCGCCATCAAGCAAATCGAGGTAGATGTATGAATAGAGACCTATGGTGGTCAAGGCGACCGAACCCCTTCTATAGGTAGCCTTCCTAGATAGAACTCAAGATAAAACCTCGATGTGGACGGTGGATAGTATCCATTGAAAGGAGCTACGAGCTTAGTGCACCAGATACGATAGCCTACATCGAGGTGACTTTATATGGGTCTAGGGGAAGCGTACTCGGAGGTGTGTGGATAACCACGAAAGCCACGAAGACGAGCTTACTGACCAGATAACCCTTTGTATCTAGATATACATAGTAGCCCTAGGCTAGGGTGAGGGATAGTTCCGCGAAGTACCTGCTTTTAACTTTATTCATTCTCTAAACAAGTAATTCCCTCAAATCCTCCACTCAAAACTCCAAAA